CAGCAATGCATGCCTTGAAGCTAGCCAATGAGGCGAGTATTCATTCAAAAGATAGGCTGACCTATATCTGGACCGAAAGGGTGACCACAACTTTATGTGCATCCAACATGTGAAAGAAAGAAAAAAAGTCCACCTGAGGAAAATTTTATAAATGTTAGATGATAACAAGATGGAGGACTGCATCAGGATAACTTCTTTGTAGCAGCCAAGCATTTTCACCAGGACTCTCCCTCTCTTTGTCTATGATATTACAACAACAGCAACAACAACAAGCATTTATCCCACTAAGTGGAATCAGCCACATAAATCCTTTATCTCCATTGAATCATATTGAGTGTCATGTTTTAATTTAATTCTAATAAATTAAGATCATTTTTTATACAACATGGCCACATCATTTTAGATATACCTCTATCTTTCTACACATAGGTCAAATATAAAACAACTACTCTACGAACTGGGTCATCACTAGTCAACATTTAAGGCGGCTCTCTCTAATCTCTTCTGCCACTGGAGCTACTCCAATGCTTTCACTGATAAATTCATTTCGCATATCCTCTCGACGTGTAAAGCCACTAATCCATCTGAGCATTCTCATTTAAACAACGCTTAATTTTATGCTTCTCCTTTACAGGCCAACATCCAAAGCCATAAAGCATTGTAGATCTCACCATCATCTCATAAAATATTACTTTAAGTTTAAGCAGTACTTTTCTACAATAAGCATGATGCATTCCTCCACTTCAACCACCAACTTGAGTTCTTCTAATAACATCCCCATTTATACCACCATAACTTTGAATAATAGACGTAAGATATCTAAAATGATCACTCTTTCTAATTACTTGATCACTCATTGTTACAATCCACTACTAAATTTACTATTAGAAAATTATACTTCATGTATTCACATTTAAATTTACTCAAATGAAAGCTTTTAGACTCTAAATTTGACCTCCATAATTCAAGATTTTTTCTGAACTCTCTTTCTAGGCTTATCCACAATAAGGATATCATCCACGAAAAGTATACACAAAAGTACAGTCTCCTGTCTATGTCTAGTAAGAACAACCACAACTAAAGCAAAAAGATATGGATTTAAAGCCAATCCCGATGTAAGAAAAGTGAAATAGGAAAATACTTGGTCAGACAACAGCTCTATTATATATATTTCTTTAGAGAACTCTCAAACTTGGGGTTTTTCACCTTTCCTCCACAACCCATTTTTTCTCAAGTTTAGTTCATTCACCCATCGCAGCCCATATCTAACTCATTAATTGTTCCAAAAAAATGTGGGCATAAACACGTACAGTTCTCTCTATGTCCATGAAGAGAAAAAGATGTGATCATCACTTTAAAGTGCACATACAGAATAGAAAATTTTAAAATGCATTTTCCACACAAATCAAAATTATTTTTAAGAGAAAACAAAGCAAGCTAGACAAGACAGTCAAAGTTTATTTTTTAAAAAAATGAGGAAATGTTTTATATCTGGAGCAAAATAACACGCACACAACCTGAATTAAAAATGAAACAACAGGCTGTCAATAAAAATTTTCTACAGAGCTTTTCAATAAATAAAGCTACAGCATAAAGTAATGTTGTACGATGATATATGTTTTTCCACTCGTTCTTTTAGAATCTCCTAGTAAGAGCACTAAAACTAAGAATACAACAACAACAACAACAACAAAGCCTTAATCGCACTGCGTAGGGTCGGCTACGTGAATCCTTTTTCTCCATTGCGTCCTATTTAGTTCCATATTTTCATTTAGTTCTAGTAAATTAAGATCATTTTTTATACAATAAGCCCAAGCCTTCCTAGGTCTACCTCTACCTTTCTTAGCACAAGTCGAATCTAAAACATCTACTCTCCTAATCGAATCATCAGGTGGTCGATGTTTAATGTGACCAAACCATCTAAGACAACTTTCTCTAATTTTGTTCGTAACAGGGGCTACACCAACCCTATCACGGATATAATCATTTCACATTTTGTCTCTAAGTGTAAAGCCACTCATCCACCTAATCATTCTCATCTCGGCAACACTTAACTTATTATTATGCTTCTCGTTTAAAGGCCAACATTCAGCGCCATAGAACATTGCAGGCCTCACCACCGTCTTATAAAATTTTCCTTTCAGTCTAAGCGGTACTTTTCTATCACAACACCAGGCCCGAAGCATTCCTCCACTTCAACAAACCAACTTGAATTCTACTATTAACATCCTCATCTATATCACTATCGCTTTGAACAACAAACCCAAGATATCTAAAACGTTCACAACTTTTAATAATTTGATCACCTAAAGTCATACTTCTGTCATTAGAGCTACTACTACTAAAATTACATTCAATGTATTCAGTTTTAGTTCTACTTAAATGAAGGCCTTTAGACTCTAATGTAAACCTCGATAATTCAAGTTTTTCCTAGGTTTTATCTCTCGTTTTATCCACGAGAAGGATATCATCAACAAAAAGCATACACCAAGGTACATCCTCCTGTAGATGTTCAGTAAGCCCATCCATAACTAAAGCAAAAAGATATGAGCTTAAAGCCGATCCCTGATGTAATCCAACATGTAATCCAACAGAAATAGGAAAATATTTGGTCAATCCTCCTTCAGTTCGAACACAAGTAATAACTCTAGCATACATATCTTTAATGACTTCAATATAAGTCATATCAACATCTTTCTTCACAAGAACTCTCCAAAGGATATCTCTTGGAACCTTATCGTAATCTTTTTCTAAATCAATAAAAATCAAATGTAGATTCTCCTAATTATCTCTGAACTTCTCCATCAATTTCTTAATAACTGTATAGCTTCCATAGTAGACTTGCCCAACAAAAATCCAAATTGATTATGAGAAATCTTTATAATGCGTCTGAACTTATGTTCAATTACCCTCTCCCATAACTTTAAAATATGACACATCAACTTAATTCCTCTATAATTTGCACAATCTTGTGCATCCCCTTTATTCTTATAAATGGGGACCAAAATACTCTTCCTCCACTCCTCAGGCATCTTTTTAGTTTTTTAAATAATATTAAAGAGTTTAGTAAGCCAAGAAACTCCCAAATCTCCCAAATATTTCCACACTTCAATTGGGATATCATCAGGTCCTACAGACTTT